ATATTTATGTACCTATTAATATTAGTTATTGTTATTTTATATAGTACGATTGCGCGAATACCTAAAGTATCACTATAGGATTGATAATTATTACCCATCTTTATGCCTAAGTTATTATATTTAAATAAATATTATTATTTAATATATAGTGATTAATATATACTCATTTATATATATTAATAAAAAGTAAGAAAATATACTAAGTTTCTAATAAATTATGTAAAAGGAACATAATAATTATATCATCTGTTTTTAATTTAATCTCCGTACTACATAAATAACACCTATCATCACTCTTTTGATTACTAAACTATCAGGCTTAATAAGCAATAACTTTCTTTATAGTATAATACTTATTAGTATGCAGATACTTTATATTATCTTTACCATCTCAATATTTATTACTATCTCATTATTATATACATCATTGTTGTTATGCAATTATATAATATGATAAATCTATCTAATAACTGACTATAGAGTATTACTATACACATATCCTATATACATTATACTATGTATTATCACTCTATTCACCTTTTTAATATCTATATATATTATAAATCAATACTTATTCAGCATGAGTAAGTAAGTAGGATAAAATATGAGATAGATGAGTAGTAGTAAGTGATATTAAGAAAAGATATAAATAGATAATAATAAGAAAAGTAAAAGAAAGACACTGAAATAACTTTACATGAGTGTTAAGCTAATTAGTCATACAAATAGAACTGACACTGTAAAACACAACTAAACAAGTATTATTGATGATATGATTTATTCACATAGGTAATGCAATAGAGAATATAACTATTGAGTATACTGGTAATAAGCGTAATTTAAATAATATATAAATAATGAATATGTAAAGCAACACTCACTAGATATTTACTCGTATATTTACTTAGAGGTATATACGTTTCCATAATAACTTTATAAAATTTACGTGAGATGAGTGATAATTATATATAAACAGCAATGCCTTTTGAGTGAGCATATAATAGGTATATATGAGTGTGAGTAGTTATACCGCACTTTGCATATATTATTCATCTACGCATAAACTACCACTGATAAATCAACAAGATTTTGCATAAAACTATATAGCGAAATCAATTATTATGTATTTAATGAAAATTGTGATTTATACTCAGTGCTTCTTATATATAAAATATATAATATATATAATTAATAACTCTAATTATATATATTATTATTAATATATATTAAATATATACTATACTATATATTATACTATATATATAATATATTAATATATAATATTATAAATAATAATAATATATCATATATCACTTATATAATATCACAGTAGTTTCCTTTATAATTAATAACTAATATAATATATCTAATATAACAATATATATTAAATATATCATATTATATAATATTATAATTAATATTAAACATATATTATATTTATATTATACTGTTAATTAATAATTATATAATATAATATATATATTATATACTATTTACATCATATAAATATTTTTATATCATATATTATATATATATTATACATTACTTATACTATTATATAATATTATATATATATTATTTATTATATTATATATTTATTAATATATGTATATTAGTGAACATTATACTCATATATATTTTATATTATTATGATTTAATATAATATTTTTCTTATTATTATAATATATTTATATTATATAATATATTATATATAATATCTTCATCATATTAATCTAATTCTACTATATAGTTATTTATATATATTATTATATATATATATTACTATTATAATATTTTATATATATAACTATATATTATATTATACTTATATATTTTATAAATATATATATTATATAATTAATAATTATTTATATATTATTAAATTATATAATATATATATTTTTTATATATTATATATATCTATATAATATATATATATATATAATTTCATTAACTATAGTATATTATATTTACTATAATTTATATATTATCTATTAAATAAATATTAATATATATTTATATATATATATATTATTATATATTAATTATAACGTTATATACTATATATTTATTTACATATATTATATAGCTTACTTCTTTAATTAAATATATTAATAATATATTATTATAATTAAATATATAGTATTATTTATATATAATATTATTATAATAATAATTATATATAATAATTAATATATATTAATTTATAATTATATATCACTCACTTATATATATAATATATATTTGTTGATATATTAGTTAGTAGGTGTGTAGTTTAGGTGTGGTGTGTGATGGGTGTGTGTGATAGTAGTTGGGTGTTAGTGTATTTGTGTTATGTAATATATGTAGTATGTTGATGTTAGTATACCTATTATCATTATTATATATACATTCAATAATATATATATATATATTATTTAGATCTATGATAGCTATATAATTCCATTATTACTATATAATACAAATATATATATTACTACTATATTATATATTACCTATATAGTCTACCTATATTATAATAATTACTACTATCTTATATTTATACTTTAATATCCTTACCTATAACCTCACGTTATATATATACCTTTTTCTATAATACAATCTATATATTTAATTATATCTAATATTAAGTCCATACTTTTTCTGCCTCTTAATATATAACACTATATGGGTTATATAACTATATATTCATACTAATATATACCTTTTATCTTATATATATCTACTATATAATATACTACTTTATAATCATTTCTTACTCTCTATACTTAATACTTAATATTAATAACCTCTACTAATGATTAACTGTTACTTATCATCACTATATACTACTATGTTTAGTATATGATACTACTTTAATTATACTGTCATACCATATATATATTATATAGTTATATATACTTTACTATTTGAACATATATACGAGTTTGATATATATTAGTATAGTATTATATGTACTAACTACAATATACTCACTATCATCTACTTATGACTCCTACTATACTACATTATAAGAAAATGAACTATATATTATACTCTATTATATCATATATACTATATACTACTCATATACCTGACTATATATAATATCCATCTCATTATATAATTCCATACTATTCTTACCTCAAATATGTATACCTATCATATACTCCCTTCTATATGTATACCCTTTATCAATATATTCTACTGAATTAATCTAATACTATTACACCCATATACTATTATATATATATATAATTTATACATATAATATAAATATGTATATATATATATATATATATATATATATATATATATATATATATGTATGTGTGTGTGCATGTGCGTGTGTGCGTGCACGTGTGTGCTTATATACACACATTTACATCTCTAGAAAGAAACTCTAGCCTTCACCTCTACATCAGCATCCAAGAGGAAGTGTCTGCGCTGTACGTCATCCAAAAGAATGTCCCTGAATGTTTCAGGATATTGCATAAATGGATGGTGAAGGAGCTTCTGCCTATGTTCAGTGCCAACTGTCCATGGCTTATCATGGCCAGCTGAGTCCCGACAAGGGTCTTCATATTCTTCCCAAAATGAGAGATTTTGAACTGCTGAATCTCCTAGATATGATGGAAAGAAGTTGGTGATTCTCAGTTTTAATATTTCTTTTGCACCATTTTTATAAGTCAGAAAAAAATTACAACTCCCAAAATATACATTTCATAAATCAATATACAACATAAATAAAATTACTTATACTGTACCTGGTGACATATTATCACTGTTTATATCTCCTCCTAAGACAACAAACATCAGAACTTCTTCTTGTGGGTTATGTGTCTCTTTGACAAATTCATTCAGCCAATTCCTGGCCTCTTCCAACTGGTGAACAATCACTCTGTCTTTCCCCTGATATGCCTGACAGCAAAAATGTTGCTAGGGTAACTTCAAACATTTTTTCATTAATATGACAACTGTTAAGTGTAGCAAAGTGTAAAAACAGAAAGAGTCACTACTAAAATATTTGTCAGGAATCTGGTTCCATATTAACTGCTATAGGAGTAATATAATAAGAAACTAAAGTTTATAAAAAAATGTCTTTCCTCCATGTTTAAATATAATATTTACTTGTCAATTGACATACAAATATTGAAAGCTTAAGTTTCACTCCTCATATTCCTTAATCATATTCTTAACCATTTATCATAGTTATCTGCAATATTGGTTTCATTCACATGTTACTTCATTTACAAGGTGAATTCTCTGAAGATATAACTTTATTCATTTTTTAAATTCTTACCTGAGTGTGGATATTACCAACATATCCAACAGCTTTCAATGACTCATCTTTTGTGCTCTTCACTCCCAGGTTAAACTAAAGAAAAGATAATGACAATTATTCCACTATTCAAAAGCCCGAAGTATACTGACTACAGTCAATCATCATTATCATTTTTCTTCTATTATCATTTTCATTATCACCATATTATCATTATTTAGTCATTGCATTAGGAAAAGGTTTAATTTGTCAAGTTTTGTCTGCTGTATCTGACACTATAGAAATAGACTCATTTTTCAAAAAAAAAAAAATTCACAATATCTAGTTTTCTGATTTCACATGAAGAGTAAAAATATAAAGAACTACTAAGGCTGAAGCAAGCTTTATTGGCAATTAAGTATCTATTTTCTCACATGATCTAAAAGTTTCCTATCTTTACCAACAGATTATTGTTCTCAACTGTTTTGACTTTGTGGTATAATCTGAATATTTTACATTAAAGTCAATTACCAACTTTATAACATGGGATGTGATGATGTAATGAGAAGGAAAACTCAACATGTAGAAAGCTGAAAATAAGTCAGTAACCTCAAAAAGATAAACTTAGGAAGCTAAGGCATTATCACAAGTATTCTGCAACTCCCCCCTCTGAACACAAATGATGATAGCAATACATGTATAAGCCTCAACATAACTGTCTTGTACTATGATAAGACTTTTTCTTAGTGAACTTTAAAATATACATCAAATGTTCCATTAAAGCATAAACACACTTCCTTTTTTCCCATATCCACAGAAATGAAGAAAAAAAACTCTAATGCAGCAATAAAATATAAAATCCTACTTGTACTATAAAACCTTTTCAAACTTTATGTAAAATTTCTACCAGGTATATTAGTTCCCTTAATACCTACAAAATTTTCCACCAGCAAAATAAAAAATCTCACCTTGGCCAGGAGTATGCCATACCCTACAAATTTAGCATATTTTGTTGAGTAGGAGAAGGGATGAAAAGAAGCTTCCATTATAGGGAAGCGAGACGCTATAAACAACCCACTTCCTGATGGCGCATGAAAGAGACCACAGAAAAAAACAAAAAACGAAAATATAATCAGAACAGGAATAGATCTATCCAAATTACATCTGGGAAAATCTGGAACATGTAGTCAAACAAACTGATAGCAAAAGAGGTTTAGCAAGAAAACTTAAAGTACAGATGATGCAAAAATTAACTTTGGTGATATTTCACAGGTCCATCTCATTAATCATATTATTGTAATACTTTTGGCTTTAATATCACTGAAACAAATAGAAAAAAATAATATTCTTGTCACTCTGTCTTTGTTTTTAAACTCTGATTTTTCTTCCTCTTATTTCAATGCACATTGAAGTTAAATCTACAATTTCTTTTTTTTCTGACCTTGACATTGCAAAACTTGAGAGCATTTCTCTTAACTTTTCCATGTCATGGTTGAATGTCATATTATCAGAATGCTACTTTCTATAAGATAAGAATCTTGTCCATTTTCTTTACTTTTTTACAGCTTTTCCCCTCCTCAGTATACACACTGCATATAAAAAAAAAAATCATCTGTCCAAAAGCCTGTCTGGATATCCCATTAGTACATGACCTGTCCATTCCTTGAATATTTTGTATCTTATTTCATTGCACATTTCCATAGTCAAAGATGGAGCCCTCATCCATTTTATTTTTATATCTAATCATCCTGTCTGTGCATGTACAGGTTCTGCTAAAATCATTAGAGACTTAAAATGACAATAAATTGGGTGGCAAATCCAAAATGTCATTAGCCATTAGATCTTTTGACAAATCTTGTATAATTTCATTTCCCTATCTTCATTTCCAAATGCACCTGAGCTGTTATGATTTCAGTTGAAAGATGTTTGGTATAAGACTGCAAAAACAGTATTTCTATTGCATTTTCATCATACTTGAGAACATGTAATTAGTAAACAAAAGCAGGCACAAGCTTTAAATAACCATTTTAATAGAAAACATACTATGATATTTTTAAATACAAACGATGTCTAATGCATTAACATTAGCTACAATGTCTGGGTGTTATATAAAAGAAAACTCTTTCAACAAAAGTTTTTTTACATAAAAAGGAACTACTGAAGAAAAAGAAAATTTTAAAATCTCATAAAAAATAATCAGGAATTTTTTTTCATATTCTGATGATCTCCGTCAACAAACAAAGTGGTTATCAGATACAAAAGGATTATATTTTGATCTTTTAAGACATTATCAAAACACCTCCTAAGGTTTAATAAGCTACACAAAATATAATGAGGAAATTTAAAGATCATATTGACACAAGAAAAATTATATAATCTAAATATTTTTAGTAATTTTATGTTTATAGCAACACTGCAAAGAATATTTTTTACACAAAAAATATCAACTTATGCTGACTGTTTGTATAGATATATATATATATATAGATTTTTTACACTATCAATTGTGTGGCAGAGAAATGATAAATTTAAAGGAGTATAAAAAAGGTTTCATGATAAAATACTTTACTTACCCAATAAACAGAGATTATTTTTCAGACTGTGTTCCCCTGCATTGTATATGCAATAAGGATATTTCTTGGAGAACTTCTTATAAAGCTGTCTCCCTCGCAATCTTTCAAATACCTCCTGAAGCATGATCACATCAATATCTGGAAGCTATTGTAAACAATGAGTTCACTGTCCCTTTAAATATGTACACTAAAAGTAAACATTCTGAATTCTTCATAGTCATTGCATCTATAATCATCTACCGGTAATTTCTTCCTTTTATAGACTTTGGGAATCCAGAAATTTTTGAGAACCTTTTATATCTGTTATGCAGTTACACAAGCTAGGAACAACAGAGTCAGATTTCATGTTTCGGGGGTATCTTCATACTTGTTTCTAAGAAGTACATTTCCCAGTTAATTGTTATAAATGATTGTGTAAAAAAAAATCACAAATGGGCCAGATATGAAAGGTAAAGGACACCTTTATCTAACAGGATAACTTGGTTTGTACAATAATTCTTGAAAACAGTGGGCATGACATTTTGACTTTTACTCTTTACTATTGTTGTGGAACAAAAATTAAAGGAAATCAGAACTCTCAACCCTTTTTCCTTTTTTATGCTGTAACTAGATGCCTTACATGAATGAGTTCTCCAGAATTAGGTTTGGATATTTGGGGCCATATTTTAATCATTTTGTAGAACGATAAAATTGTTCTTCAGAGCCTGATATAAATTCATAATTCACAAGTTACTAAATTTTCAAGAATATATTAAAATGAACTAATTCTTAATAATTCTGGTCAGATATTTTCTAAACTTGACCAAGGCATCAGAAACACATGATTTCCAAGACAAAATATGGCTCAAAATACTCAAAACTACCACTGGAAAACTCCTCTGCATCAAAATATCCCTGAGAAAAGTAATGGGCATTTGATTTTTATTTGCATCTGCCTCTATTTGACGATCATAAAGCTCAAGGAAAGAAAGTAGAATTCTAAGCCAAACTTCCTAAGAAAACATAATGCCACTTTCCTAAGGCAAATCAAAGGAGGAAAGTTCTGTAATATCCCCAATATAGTAACTGATATGGCCAAATTTTATTTCTACTGTGAAAATCTTGTGTTTTCTTTGGTAGCTATATCAGAAGTAATCAACCTTTCTTCATAAGAGACACCAAGTACTTCTCTGCGATGGGGTTGGTTTCCTAGGCTGAGTACCACAGTACTATTTACATACTTTTTTTTACAGACATGAGAATGATATATATCAACAAAACTAGTTAATATATACATAGACCCAAAGCTGGCTATTTGGAATAATATTCTTTTCTCCATAATCTTAAATAAGTAAGCAAAAGTGAGGCTACAACAATGTAAATCTTTTGTGATAGCCCAAAACAAAAAAGGGAAAGTGTAAATATACCCAGCTCTGAACAATGTCTTCTCTCTTCACAGGTTCACGTAAATTTCTCATTATGTTCAAAGATGGAGTCTGATGGCGCATGAACCTTGTAGGTATCTCTTGTGCCCGCCAGTAAACATTCCTGCAACATATAACCAAAGCATATCATCATTACAAAAATCGAAGAGAAAAAGCAAATACTTATTTTATATAAACTTTGTTATTTCCAAATGTTTACAAATATAATAATTATTACCTATTATTGTTGTATCGCACAAGAATCTCAGGAATGAGAATCACATTTGCTGAACAGATGGTGAAACTTGAAGGACAATTCTGGGTGACATCTGAGGACTGACTTTCAGCAGAATCCACATAAATAAAGGGTTGCTGATCACAGAAGGAGCATAGTGCCACCCATATGATGTAGCCAACAAAACCAAGAGGCAACAAGATAATGGTCATCATCAGCAGTATAGGTCCTCCAACAGCATACCTGTTATGAAATTTTTATTTTACATACCCAATAATCAGTACAATTTCACCAAATTTATATCTATAACAAAAAACTGACAGTATCTGATATTATTTCAAATTGGAGAGACATCTAAATTCTAAGATTGGCACAATTCACAAAACATTTAATACATATACAATGTGTAGATAGAGAGATATACATTCCTCTTACACTTTAAATAAAAAATGTTTCTATGGTATTAATCAGCTTAGAAAACACATCAGATGCTATTTAAATATTCTCTTACCTCAAGAAGAGTATTCTGGGTTGTTGCCGATCAAATGTTGTTTGACAGTAACAGGAGAGACACAGTGATAACAGATGAAGGAATGGTACAGTCAAACACGATGAAAAATAATCTAGTCCTTCCCACAACCACCAGTTGTAGCAACTCTTCCGAGGCACCATATTTACGTCTTACTGCAAGTACATAATGCTATAAATCCACAAATAACAAAATATATGGACTATCACCCTAATGTCATCATCATTCCTATTTTACCATCATCATCATTATTCTTATTGTTATCATTATTATTATCATCATCACATCACATGACATCACCATCACCATCACCATCATCATCATCATATCATCATTATTATGTTTATCATCATGATTGCAATCATCTTCATTATCATCATCATCAATCATACTGCTAATATTATAACCACCGTCAAAGAGGTTATGCTTTTAGTATTGTTGGTTAGTTGTTGTTTTTCTTTTTGTTAGATGTTAGCAGGATAATTCAAGAAGTTAAGAACAGATTATATGCCATTAAATTTTCAATCCAGATAAGGGAATTTTTTTTAATGATTACATCAGTTACTCTTATTGCCCAGGAATAGGGGTAACTATTATTATTATTACTTTTATTTCCAAGTAAGTTATGATTATGGACGGCACCTTCAAGAGAGGTGATATGAATGTAATTCTTCAAGTGTGAATATTTTTACTGCATCAGTAACCATGTTGCCTTGGCGAAGGTATGCTTCGTGTTTTATGATTATTATCATTATCATTATTAACATCATAATAATCAATGTCATTATCATTATCATTATCATTATCATTATCATTATTATTATTATTATTATTATTATTATTATTATTATTATTATTATTATTATTATTATCATTATTATTATCTTTATCATTATCATAACTACCATCATCTTTATCATCACCATTATCATTATTATTATCATAACTACCATCATCTTTATCATTATCATCATTATTAATATTATTATTATTATTATCACTATTTTTCATTATTATTTT